ACTACACACACACACACACACACACACACACACACACACACACACACACACACACACACACACACATATATATATATTCGAATGATTTGGCGATGTATGGGTATCGGATGTTTACCTCCACGATGCAGCCTGTGTTACATAATGATGGTTGTAACTTGATGTAAGTTTGAAAAATTGAATTGAATTTAAGATTTCGAAACATGCAGGGCCAGGCCAGCGGTGGAGTTTGGTTTGGAAATCAATTGAAGAAGAAGTATGGGACAGATATAGTTTACATCACCACGGCCATCAATGAAACTGGGTGGAACATATTCGCTGCGCCGACACATGATGGTGTAGATGTTTGTGGACGCAGATTAGCGGATGAAATTCGCAGCACAATCAAGGCCAATCCGTCACTCACTCATATAAGTTTATGTGGGCTCTCGCTGGGGGGGTTGATCATCCGATACACATGTGGGGAACTTTATGAATCCGAGAGTGGCACTATTGGTGGTCTTATACCACTCAACTTCGTATCGTTTGCATCACCGCATTTGGGGGTCAGAAAGGTATTATGCCGTTATAGATCTTATTCGTGCTCAGCTGTTTCGGGCTTCTCTTCGTTTCTTAGTGAATGTTCTCTATATAAATTGGTATTGAAGCCAATTACATCGTTGGGACAATGTACCTCTTCTAATAAATGTTTACTTCCACTAGTCCATCTCCGAGCACCATTTCGTCCCGTGTTGGTGTTGCTTGATTGTTGACAGAAAAATCTTGCATCATTCCAACGGCAGACTCTGCCAGGATTTATGGGCGTTCTGGGCGGCTTCATCGTGGGAAATTCGTACCATCAAATGACATTGGCAGACAATGCGAACAAGAAAACATGCAACACTTTACTAGAGAGAATGGCGGGCATCCAGACACCGGAATGTAAGTTGGGGTGCGTTCTTCATTCACTGCCTATCGAAATTTATACTACACGTACTGTATGTGCGCACGTGCATCAATTATGGTACCACGCTGTTGTACGCCTGAGTCTCAACTTTCACATGTGAAATTTGGTATAGTTACAGTCTTTTTGGAATACTGATTGAACATGGTATCACCAACATACTCCACAGGTGCAGAGGCTTGCGGGGACAAACGTGCTTATCTTAAAGCACTGTCGAGTTTCCAACGACGATTATGCATTGGCAATGTGGAGAGCGATCCACAGGTACGTGACATGAGACCTCTACTATGTAAGCTCATCAAAACGGTTTAAACTATCCACGACGAAAAGAAGGTCGGCATCAGAGAGAGACTCCCGATTAGTTGAATGACCAGGATGTGATCATTTTTCGAAGAGCATAGTGCTGCACATGGGGGCTCTTTTCTAATCGTCCCTAATATTTGCTGTTCCATTCTTCACAGGTACCGTATCCAACTGCCACCATGGTGCCATTCTTCCACCCTGCTCATATGCCAGTTGACAGTAAGTGTACCACAAACCACTTCGTAGCGTGAAATATATCTTCGATTTACTGTGAACTGTTGCAATATCTTAACTATGTGCCTCGCTATAGATTGTTAAATCGAACTGGCTCGGGCCTACTTGTCCAAATTAATCAGGAGAGTCGCAGTATGCGAATATCGTACGAATTGTGCGAAACGAGGAACTCCCTTCGAATCCCGCTTCAATAGACGAATGGTTCAATTCTGTTGGAGCTGAGGAGCTACAAGCTGAGGTACGACATGTTTCAATTTATCGAATTTTGCTTGCCACTTTATGATTCATAGATGATGCTTTCAGATTGTTTATCAGTATCGGCTGATTTTATTCTGTCGCTAACTGCTTGGCGTTCATGTCAAGGAGAAGTCACTACACATCTTTCAATACTAAGCATATGATTATCAGTATTGATTTCGTTGGATTGATTATATGCGACGTAGATCTGGATAGAATCCTTACCAAAGCAAGTCTGGCTGAAGCTATGGTACTTCATCCGATAAATCAAGTGAGAGTCCCGAAGTCGCTTAGGGTCCGTTCTGTATTGTTTAATCGAAACGATTGTATACCCACTGAAATAAGCATAGCGCATCTTTGAGGACGAATCCCCCGAATACAAGATGTTGGTTTCAATCCGAGAGGCAACTTCGTGGACGCGAGTCGATACCCGGTTCGAAGGTTTCATGAGAAATTTCAGTCATGATTTGGTTGCTGGTAGGTGCTATTATCCTTCTTCGTGATAATGCAAAGTATGCATACCTACAAACTGGCACTTGGAGAAATCTTGATTTCTGTGTGTAGTTCCCACTAAAGAGCAGGGTGAGGGTGTGGCGGACATTCTGCATCTCACAAATAACTATCTCTTATGTACGATGCAGTGAACAAGCCCGCAATCAGCACAGCGGGTCAAGGTGTCGTCCAATTTGTAGTAGACGAAATGTTGGCACCATTCAAGACGACTGATCTGGGAACGGCATAACGCAATTTTCAATAGCAACTGAAGGTGTCGCTCACTATCAGAATCTCTCGATCGAAGTCTTTCGGAACTTGATGTGAAGATTTCCCAAGCTACTCCGTAGTTACTTTTAAGCGTGTAAACCACACTAGTCCAATGCATTCGTCTTGGGCCACAGCAAGTGAATAGCTTTAAGAAGCTCTCGAAATTGAGGAATACAACATGACGAAGAAATACCCGATGCCAGAAATTGCACCTAACACGCTTCTGGTAGTGTCAAAAATACGATCAGGGTGTTCTTTCTCTCAGGCTGTTCGCGACAATGAAGTGGTTCAGACCGAAATCGACAGCGGAACGCCCCCGCGTCGGTACGAGATATCACGCGCGAGTTTTAGAATGAACTACCTGTATGTGGTACTGTTACCACAGCGACTCTTTGCGAAATGCATAGTGCACACTTTTACAATAGCTAACATCTATCAACCTCTACAGAGTATCTGTCCGTTAGCAGCAGGAAATACCGTACATCATAAACATAGCAGCTATTCATAGCGTTGCTGCAAAGGTGCAGATAAAAACAGTAATTGCTCCCTGCAGCACTCAGCATAGAAATATATGGATCTCAGGAAAGCGATAAGAATTTTACTCAGTGGATCGATTAAAATTTCGATGTAATCTTTTATTACTTTAAATGACATCTACTTTCGCAGCACAAATTGCTCACGCGCCTATATATTGTAAATTCTTATTAATAGTTACCACGTTTTTGGGGTTGTACTTGACCACCACGGATCATCGGGCGTGCGAGCTTTAAAGAATCTAAGTGTTCGGGATATACTTCGAAACCCTGAAACGATCTTTAGCGAATATGACGCTGCAGCCAGACTGCAAGTGCTCTTTCATACTATAACGAACCTAGCATCGGAATCAACTATCGTTTATTATTGAAAAACTTGCCAGATACACACAAAACTATGCCTCGGCACCGTTGTAGCCAGGTGAGAGTACGTCCTCAATCTTTGTCACCGATACCCAGGCCGCGCCAATTGTGTGGTCTCACTCGGTCGACAATTTGAATGCCGGAGTAGGAAGGACGATTCCAGATGTCCAGACTATAAAGAGAGAAAAAGACAAAAATCAGTATCGTGTTAAACACGTCGGAGACCTAGTTGAAACACCGTATCCCATCACCAGAACAAAAATGTAAACCAGGTTATAAGACAGCAACGATGCACAAGGAACTTACTTCGCATCAGCGAGAGCAACCTGCTGTTTTAATCTCGCTTCCTGCTTGATTCTGTTTTCCTCCGGAGTCTGTTTACATACACAAACATATGTGAAAAACAAAAGAAGAAAATTGATTAGTCGTTGAGCTCATAAAAAAATGACAGGGTTAGTCCTCTATCATGTGGCGTCTATTATGCTCACAGAATCAATAAGCATGAATCAGGCAATTAACAATTTGAATAGAAGCAGTGTAAGATTCAGAGTATATTTTCCAAAACAGTAAATTGACTATATAGCCGACACTATCCGTGGGTCATAGAACCTTAGTCGCATACGTAACAGTAACAACTAATGGGCGAGATACTCACCTCCATGCCCTTTGCCAGCATTCTAGTCAGGAACCCGTCAGTTTTCTTGCCTACTTGCGTGGAGTAGTAATGTTCCATGGTAGAGCCGTCGGCCGCGGGCATCTGTCCATTAAGTATGTGCGACATCAGATGGTCAAAGATACGAGGAATGAAGAATCAACGAAAAAACGCACCAAGAACTCGAGTGGTTACAAACTACAGATATCAGGTGAAAGTTATAATTATTTACCTGAGCCTTCTCGCGCCTCATGCTCCACTCATCATGCACTTCAGGAGCGGTTTTAGTCAGCCCTAATTTGATCATGAAAAGGCCCGTGATCACACATGGAACGATCACGCCTGAAAATCGATAGATTGAAAGGGGTGCGGATGAGAATATAATAGAATTGCAGTCTCCAGCACTCAGAGTCTAGTAGGTTAACTCTCAATAAAAAGCAATAAGATTTAAAAAATAAATATTGCTACACTATTGGTGTGAGCAGTGAGCAGCACAGAAAGTATATATATATATATATATATATATATATACATGCAGATATACACACACACACATATATATATGTATCACACACACACACACACATATATATATTTATATACATATGCATACATACATACATACGCAAGTACATACGTAAATACGCACACCCCCCCCCACATAAATAAATAAAATACATACGTTTTCACAAACGGACACAAACACAAACACAAACAAACACACACACACTCACACATATATATATATATGAGTGTGTGTGTGCGTGTTAGTGTGTGTACGTTAGTGTGTGCGTGATAGTGTGTGTACGTTAGTGTGTGCGTGTTAGGGTGTGTACGTTAGTGTGTGCGTGTTAGTGTGTGCGTGTGCGCGTGTGCGTATATATATATATATATATATATATATATATATATGTGTGTGTGTTGTGTGTATCTGTTTGTGTGTTACTTATGTGATTATAAAATATATCAATATTTCAGTAGAATACCAGGTACATAACAACACTGGTAAATATAAATTCACAACCATTAGAGTATAGACGCACACTATCACTCGAGTATATATACACTCCAGTATGTACAACGATAAAGCCTCTAATTCATTAA